CTAGGAGATAGGAATTCTTCTTCTTATAGTTCATACTTTAAAAAACAGATGCACAGAAGCCACATAATTTGCAAGGTCACATAGGTAGTACACAGTGGAGCCAGAACCTGAAACTACCTGAAATAGCCTTCAAGTGAATAGAAAATTAGTTTCAGAGTCATGTACACCTGATCTTGGAATAAGGCCAGGTAGGTGCCAGATAGGAGACTTCTGCTGAATTATTTTCAAACCATCTAGGTCCAGAGGGATATGGGCTGCTTAGTACCTTCAGCTGCTCCTGGAAGAAGTCAACAAAAGACAGTGGGTCTGGGCAGCATCTGGGCACTAGGGTTGACAGCTGGGCATGGGCTTTGCTAACCACAACATTCCCCAAATCCTACTTTTCAGAGTCAAATAATCCTCTAGACAGATCCAGTAGCCCACCCCACCAGGCATTCATTCTTGCTCAGGTAAACACTTACATCTGTGGACCTTACATCCTGGTATTCATGACATTGGTTAGTTTCTTCCCACATGACTCTGGGCTTGGCCAGGTGACTTGTTTTGGCCAATGAGACATTAGCAATTGTCACACAAGCAGAGGCATGATAAGCAATCTTGGAACTCCCCTCATGAAAGCCAGCCCTCATGCTGGCTCAGGATATACTATAGCCATACTGCCTAGAGCAGAACCTTTTAGCTGAGCCCTGTCAATACATATAATCATGAGAAATAATAAATCATTGTTTAAGCCACTAAGTTTTGGAGCAGTTCATTATGCAGCTATAGATGACTGACATATTGTCGCTAGTTATGGCTACCATCATTCTTAGACATGGTTGGGGTCCTGACCATGCTGGCTCAGGATAGGCTATGGCTGTACTACCTAAAGCAGAAGAACCTTTTAGCTGAGCCCTGTCAATACACAGAATCATAAGAAATAATAAATCATTGTTTAAACCACTAAGTTTTGGAGCAGTTTGTTATGCAGCTATAGATGGCTGACATACTGTCCCTACTTATGGCTACCATCATTCCTAGACATGGTTGGAGTGCTGACCATTCAGAAGCACCTACATGCTTTTGTATATACATCTCGACCAAAGCAGATTACACACATAGAGCTCAGCACACATCCCTTTCTGCCAATGCACACAAACACTCATACACACACACAGGGAATGGCTTGGAGCTAACTCATGTGTACCTTGAGACAGCCCTGGTCACCCACAGTATTTGCACTCCCCTACACATGCCTGCTTGCCTGTGCATGCAGAAATGTGCACTATCTTCTGTGTCACAAAATACAACAGCAGAAAAGGCATGCACCACAAAATCTTACATTGATGGCAGATGGGGGTCACACACACATACACATGTGCACATGGTCTCTCACAGTCTGAAACCATAAGCACCCAAAGGTGCAGAAAACAGGAGAGTGAAGAGGCCCTCAGTCCTTTCCCTCTGCACTCCACATTTCAGCCTTGGTGAACCACTTGGCTTCCCCAAAGCACTATGCACTTTTTCACCTCCAGGCCTTTGCACAGGCAGGTCCCCCTGTTTGGCATGCCTTCCCTACACCCCATTCACCTGGCCACTCTACTCACCCTTCAGGTATTATGTCCCAAGCCTAGTAGGGGCTACTTTTCTATGCTCCCACTATTTCCTGCATGGTAGTTGGTCTTCACCACCAGCTTTGTTTCATTTATGACTGTCTCCAACACCAGTACAAAGCCTGGCACTAGACAGCACTCCATAAATATTTGTTGAATGAATGGATTTTTGAGCTGGGAAGGCCCTTAGCCATTCCACTTCTTCTTTCCTCCCTCATCCATTAATCTCTACATGTTATATAAGAAGAAGTAGATGCACAGCTTAGGTAACAGAGCTAGGAGACAGCCAGAGCTAGAATCCATCCATTCATTCCATCCTTTGCTCACTCTTTCCTTCACTCCACCATTCCTTGGGCATCTACCCTGTGCTGAGTGCTGAGGATATGGGGATGAGTACAGTCATCCCTGCCCTCTGGGAACTCACAGCTCAGGAGGAGACAGATGCAAGTCACAGTTAGAAGCGGCTTAAGCTACAGAAGACAGACTCAGAATAACAGCGGCTCAAATGAACTCAGTTATTTCTCATTTATGTGAAAGTCTAGGCTTGTTTGGCAACTCAACCCCATGAAGCCACCAGGGGCCCAGGTACCCTTCTATCTTATTGCTTGATGCAGGAGTCAGAAGCAGAGCTAGAAAACTGAGTGTCATGCCAGGGATCATAAAGCCTGGGACAGAAGTAAGAAACAGAAAGTCTGGAGCTCCTTGGGGAGGCTCTGGCAGGTCCCCGTCCACACCTCCATGGTTTTGCCTGTTCTGGCTACAGTATGGGAAAGTTGGGCTTGTTTTAAGACCTAGGCTTGGGCTGGGCACAGTGGCTTATGCCTGTAATCCCAACACTTTGGGAGGCCGAGGTAGGTGGATCAAAAGCTCAAGACCAGCCTGACCAACAGGGTGAAACTCCATCTCTACTAAAAACGCAAAAATTAGCCGGGCATGGTTGCACATGCTTGTAATTCCAACTACTCGGGAGGCTGAGGAAGGAGAATCGCTTGAACCCAGGAGGTGGAGGCCTCAGTGAGCTGAGACTGCACCACTGCACTCCAGCCTGGGTGACAGAGCAAGACTCCATCTCGAAACAAACAAACAAACAAACAAAAAACAAAAACAAAAAACCTTAGGCTTGGGGTAGACAACAGAAGCAGACAGGTCAGAGAGGAGGAACAGATCTGAAAAAAAGGGAAGGAGGTGGAATCTCCAGGACTAGTCCCAACTCAAGTGAGTGAGGGAAGAGAGGGCGGGGAGAAAGCAAACATCCCAGCTGAGCACAGGGTGATGCCATACAAGGCACCGAGGGAACAAAGGGCAGGGAGGGTGTGGGGAAGCTGAGTGTGAGGTGGAGGGGAGGGGCGCTTCAAGAGCCATCGTGAGCAAGCTGTGCGTGGGACATGAACTGTGTGTTTGAGTGGGAGAGTTGTCCGCAGAGAGATAGAAACTGGAGCCTACGATGGACAAGTTCTCCCAGGGTGAGCGCTTAGTCCAGGTTCTTCCCTAGATGGACCTCCCAATCCCTTGGGAAGCTTTTAGAAGCAGACAGGAACCTGGACTTCCTTGCCATCTCCTCCTAACAACCACAAAGAGATTCTGACTCAGAAAGGTAGCCTGAGGCCCTATATGTGACTGGGCTTTTATACATGCAAGAAAAGAAACCCAACTCAAACTGGCTGGAGCAGAAAGGACTCTTGTCACCAGGCTTCTGGCACAATTTGATTGAAGGGATTTGATGATGTCTTCAGGACTCAGTCGCTCTCCACCTCTGTTTGCCTCCGTGTTGGCTTCATCCTTATTTATCAACAGTGGCAAGACAGCTGCAGCAGCTCCAGCTTATCCCTTTAGAAAGCCCTTCCAAGGAAATAGCTGTCGTTCCCAGTCACTCCAGTCCAACTCTTACTGGCCTGAACTGGGCCACATGTCCTCGCTGACCTAATCACAGTAGCCAGGGGAGATGAGAGAGACCAACTGGTGAGGTTACCTCCTATTCATATGCCAGGTATGGAGTTAACCCCACCAGAGCCATATGTCCTGGGGAGAAGTTTCCCCAAAGGAAACTGAGGCACAATTACTAGGAAAAGGGGGACTAGGCTCAGGGCAAATAAAGTGATGGGTGTTGGCTCCCCTGTGGCCTCTACAGGGGACCTGGGGCAGGTCCTGGCCATGGAAGCTTTCCATGGGGAAGAAATGGGAGAGGCAGGTCAACAGCCATGGGCAGAACAGTCAAGCAGAGGACAGAGGACCTGCGGCCTTCTGGAGGAGGGCTGACCTTCGCTTTTGTCATGGGGAGCAGAAGAGGAATCTTTGGGGAAGCCTGAAAAGCTGGCGGGAGAGGCAGTGGGAGACAGCACAGCTGGGCCTCCGAGATGCCACGGTGGCAGTTTTGGTTTCAGGAAGGAGTTTGATGCTGTCAAAGCCACAGTGGAGGAAAAGAAATGGGGTTTGCTCAATAAAAATGGGCTGGGAGCAAATGGTAGGATTTTAAGATGTAGAAAACAGAAGAGAGAAGGGTGGCCTTCCCGGAGGCCTTCCCCAGAGGGTCTAGCAGGAGCAAAAAAGTGGAAAAACACAGAAAAGACTTGAAGAACAGTGCAGGTTGTATGCCTGGGGCATTTTTTCTTCATTTTTGTCTAGGCGTGTAACCAAGACCACAGTTCAAAATCGAAGTCTTTGGGTTAGCATTGGAGGCCCTCTCTCTTCTGACTGCAAACAAGAAAATCTATTTCCTGGGTGTTTTTCCTGAGGCATCTGAATCCCCGCCTTTCTTCTGGGAGCCCTGAAGCACCGTTTATGGTCTTTACATGTTTTGTGGATTTTCGCTATTTTGCCTTTTGTGGCGGTTTTATGTGAACATGACTTGTCTTCCTTAACCAACTGTTTTTAAAGTTCCTGGAAGGCACTCTTTTCAACTCAGTGTCCCCAGGTCCTGGCCCCCACCTATGAAGAAAGAAGGGTTCAAGATAAGCCACATGAGGCTGTAACTTGTGCCTGCGGTAGACAATGCTCTACTTGAAGGAAAAATATCCCAGGGTAAGAATTCTAAGCAGTGTAGGAAGAAGAAAAGAAGAAGAGGGATACCTGGGGATCAGGCCCCTCAACACAGGCTAACTCCTGCTGCTCATAAGCTGCTACTCTCAGCTATCAGTTGGGGAAAAAATGGAGGTTAACTGTAATCCATTTGCTTTCTCTGGGATGGAAACTTTTTCCTGTTTCACAACTGGGAGCCCAGAGCTAGCTGTGTCTGAGATGGCCCTAGCAGCCACGAGTTCCAGAGAAGGAGGCTAATGCCCTTCATTGAGTGCCTGCAGTGTGCCAGCACTGTGTTCACTGCTTTACATGCATTACCTCATTCAGTCCTTCCAGACGGGTAGATGCTTTTATTATCAGCCCATCTTATAAATGAGAAAACTGAGCCTCAGAGATGTTTAGCAACTTTCACATTGACAAAAGGGAGATTTACACCGGGTTTTCTCTGACTCCAGAGTCCCTCTGGAAGCTCCAGGGTTTGCAATGCTGGGGTCAGGTCAGGCTGGCGCAGCACCCTCCTTCTTCAGTTCCCAGTCGCAAGGATGCTCCAGCTCCAAATGTTTAGATTTCACTGCCCGAGCATTCCTGAGGGCCTCCAAAGTCCTGAAAGGGAAAAGATCAGTTTGCAGGATAAGGAGGGAATGAAACTAACTCCCAACCTCAGTTCCTCCATTCAGACTAGCCTGGGAGGGAAGCGGGGGAAGTCCAAAGTCCCTGAATTTCCGGGCCTGTACCTCCCAGTGCAGAAACTCTCCAGCGCCCCCTGGTGTTCCTCAATACCATCGAGTTCTCCCAAGGATTCCTCTGTAGAGTGGACTGGGACATCCCATCACAGGGATGGAGAAAACAGAGTACCGTTGCCCCCTGAAGCCATCAGGGAAATCCTAGCACTGGAACTGGAACCCAGAGTTCCTGGCCACCAGCTCTTTCAGCAGCATCACCTTCTACTCCTGTTGTCCTCCATAGTGGCTGACTGGCCCAGCAGTCAATGTTACCTTTATTGTATATGATCTAAGTACTTACTATATTACAAGTCCAATACACACTATTAAGTGTGCCACACTCTATTAGAAGCGCAGTGATACTGTATGATATATCAAGTTCCATCAGGTCAATATAGAAAATTGGAAGTTTCTACTGGCATTCCTTGTTATTTTGAAATGGAATCCCAGCACCACTGCTGCCCCCATCTCCACTGCATATTTGAAAGCCCAGTCCTCTCTCCTCTGCCCGCTGTTTCGGCAAGATAGGCTTTCTCCCAAAAACTCAGTCCCACCACCTCATTCACAGGAATGTCAACAGGCACAAGGAGATAAAGTCTCTTGGGATACAAACGCTACTTAATGTGGGGAGTGGAGGAGGTGACAAGAGAAGAGAGAAAACTACCAAATGCCCTTCAGGCCACCAGTTTTTCTCTAATGGAGTATAGGAAATGACAGCAGGAGAGAGCCTGGTTAGCTCTAAGCCTCCCACAGGGATGGAGCCAGAGTTTATGTAGGAATTGCTCACCTTTGATGACTGTGATGATTGGGTTAGGCTGGTCTCACCACAAAGTGATAGACGGCAGGGGTCTCAGATTAGTGGCAGGCAAGAAGGGGAGATGTCAGGACTAGTAGGCAGCCCCACTGAGCCACCTCTCAGATACCTGGAATAAGCTCTTCTGCTCAGTTTTCAGTTTCTCAGGTCTTGGTCCTGAAAGAGAGAAAGGGGTGTTGGCTCTGCTGCCCCCTGGAGGGCTGACTTTTCACCCCAGAGTAAAGATGTGGTTGGCGGCCTGGCACTGGAGGAGCTGCAGATCTCAGGAGGTACAGAGTCCGCAGGGAGTTGGTTGTGGGGGAGAAGGAAGGGGTAAGAGGTTGGGGGCTTGGGGGTAGAGGAGCAGTGGCTGAAGGGATCAGGTAGTCCTGATCAGGACGTGGAGATCCACCCACAAGCCCTGACAATAACTCAGCCAGGTTCCTGGAGGGTCTCAAGGGCTGGGAAAGGTGGAGTGGTGCCTGCCCCACTGCCTCCGTGGAAGGCCAAACGAGCCCTCGGTGTGAATCCGGAGAATGAGAGAGAAGTGCAGCCCCAGCTCCACTCCACACCCCCTTCCTGCCTATAAATAACCCCAAGTGTCACTTCAAAGAGGACGGGGAGCGCGGGAGAGGGGCTCCCGGGCCGGCGGGCTGGGGCCGCCGGACCTGCTCACCACGCCCCCCACCCCGGGCGAGTTTGCATAAATAAACAAATTCAAGCCGTCGGCCCCGCGGGAGGTGGAGGAGGAGTGAGGAGGAGGAGGAGGGAGGGGGGCGGGAGAGATTAGTTTGGGAAGTAGCACGGATTGCTCATCCGATCCGTGCAGCCGCAGGGAGTGTGTCAAGTTACAGAGGCGCCGGAATCGGCCCCAGCGCTCCTCGCCAGCCGCCACTACCCACCTCTGCCCATGGGGCCCTCCATGTGCGCCCCTTCGCCCGGAGACTGAAACTGGCTGGCCCGGGAGACACGAGGCGCCCAGGAGGACTGACAGCGCGGCACCAACTGCTCTGCAGACTCTTGAAGGGAAAGACTGGGCGGAGAGAAGGAGAGCCGGTCAGATTCCCCTAACTTTCCTGGACTTGGAACGTTCTTCGAAATAACTTTTTTTCTCACCTAGGTGTACCCCAGTTACCGCTGGTTGTGCTTTTTCGGCCCTTCCCGTCCTACTGCTAATTTTTCCGTCCTCTTTGCCGGGAGCAACGGAAAGGGACGTTTTCCAGCGATACAAGCCCTTTCCCCCTTGCCCCGCAGTTTGGATACAGCCTTTTGGCAGCAGCTGCGCCTTTATTTATTCTATTTATTTATTTATTGGTTCTCAAGACGTGAGAGGATGGTAGCGGAGAGCACCCACAAAGCGGCAGCCACCGGTGCCTGCGGCCCTAGGGAGTTGGGCGCGCCCGGGACGGTGGCTCTGGCGGCGGCGCGGGCGGAGCGCGGCGCACGGTTGCCGAGTCCAGGGTCGTGCGGGCTGCTGGCGCTGGCCCTCTGCTCGCTGGCACTCAGCCTGCTCGCCCACTTTCGGACGGCGGAGCTGCAGGCCCGGGTGCTGCGCCTGGAAGCGGAGCGCGGGGAGCAGCAAATGGAGACGGCTATTTTGGGACGAGTCAACCAACTGCTGGACGAGGTCTGTGCTCTTTGTTGCTGGCTTTTATCCCTCCCCGCGGCGCCCCCTCGCGCAGCCTCCAAACTGTTCAGCCGGTGTCCGCGGGCGCTCGCTGTCTGCGAGCCCCGGATTCGTGCGAGTTGCCTGCGGGAGGGGTCGGGGACACGAACAGACGCTGCCCTGCCAGGGATTCGGAGGACCTGGTGGGCAAGAGCATGACCCCGCGACTCCCGCCTCCGGCAAGCTCTCCCGGCGTCCAGCGCTGGGAGCGTCCTGGGCGCGCCGGGCAGGTGGAGGAAGGATGAGTGCGCGGAGGCTAGCAAGCGCCGCTCCTCCCTTTCGGGACCTGGAGGGGTGGTGTGACAGCCGCCCCGCGCCCACGCAGCGGGAAGCGGGCCCAGAGGCCCAGGCTGAGGCTTACTGAGCCCCGTGGCCCTCCCCCTCCACCCCTTAAGGACCGGGGGTTGCGGGAAGAGGGGACAGTTCTTGCAGGGGGTGGTGCCCTGGTCTCTGCTCACTGGCCCAGGCCGCTACGATCCAAGTGTGGGTCGCCTGACTCTGCTGTCCTTGGCCGCAAATTAGTCCACACCTTCTTGTTCCTAAACCAGGTTTCTTATTTTTCTGGAAAAAGGATGCTTTCTCCCATTCTCCAAATTTTTTTGATCCAAGGAGATTAAACGCTACTAGTGTATCAGGTAGCTATGGCAATCTTGGGAATACAGAAAAAGGCTGTCCCCTCCCCAGGAAGGAGGGACATGCAGCCTCTTTGTGCCACCAGAGGAAAGGCTGGGCCTTGGCAGGGTGAGGCCTGATGATCTGTGGGAATCTGGACAGCACAGGGGATCCAGGGCCCAGATGGAGAGGAGGACAGGCAGGTGGGGGCTGCAGCAGTCTGGGAAGAGGTCCTGGAGCAGGTCCTGGCCATGGAAGGTCCTGACCATGGAAGGTTTCCATGGGGAAGAAATGGGAGAGGATCTCTTATTTAGCTGGAGGGAGTGTGCAACAGTAAAGACCACAGTGGTAGAGTCCAGAAACCCTGAGTTTTTATCTCCACTCTGCTACTTGGAAACTTGGGACAAACGCTCCAACCCCTCTGAACATGCAAAACAGTGCTGATGTAGCAAACACTGGAGCACAGCTCTACCTGTGGTGGGTGGGGTGCTGTGAGCATTTTGGCAAGATGTACCTATTCCCTACAGCCAGGCTCCTCTCAGCTGCCTCTGCCAGGCTCTCACCTGCTGGAGCAGTTCTCCAGGGTGGCCAAGGAGAAGGAGATTGCAGAGCCAGAGCAGAGAGGGCGGTCACAGGGCAAGCTTACTGGTGCTAGTGGTGCACCCATGACTGCTGCTGTCAGCTCATTCCAACGCCCTGCCAGCCTCCAGGGAATCCGGAGAGCTCCATCGGGCCGCCCATGGTCCCCTGGGCCTGGGGTGGAGGTGGGGCATCTCTGGGCTCAGGCAGTGTGAGCCCAGACTGGCTGGGTGGTGAAGAGGGTGTCAGGGCAGTGAGAGCTCCTCCAGGTATCTTGGGGGTCCTGGCTGCTGAGGGATAAAGCATCTGATTTGCAGGGTTTAGCGCAGCCCCTCTGTCCATGCTTTCCCCTTCCCAGACCTTCCTGCTGGCCTGACCATGCCCTGGCCTTTCCTAGCTCCTTGCTTCCGCTGCTTCAGACTTAGCCATGCCAAGTCGTATACTCTAGGGGCCTTGGGGCTATATGTTGGATACTATTGTAGCCAACATGCTCACTCCTTCCCTCCACGCTGCAGCTCCGTATTTACCCTACTGAATGTAATCTTTTCAACTACTAGATATCAAAGTTATCCCAGAGAACATCTGAACTGAACCCCATTTTTAAGATGGGGAAATTGAGCCCAGAGTCACATAGTGGGGTCCAGGACTAGAATCTCAGCCTCCTGGCCCTGTATACAATGTTCTTTGCACTGTATCCTGCCATCTCTCTTTTTTTTTTTTTTGGTCTATTCTCATTCATTCATTCAGTAAATGTTTATTGAGAGCCTGCTGTGGATCAGGTATTGTGGGAGACACTTTTGCCCTCCTAAACTTACAGGGAAGTAGTGCACAAAGAAGAAAATGGGTAGTGACCATGTCGTGTACAAAGAAAAAAAAAAGCTACAATAGTGAAAGAAGAGAGGGGCCTGGGGAATACATTACATGCAGCATTGTCTGATGGTGGTGGCAGTCATGGCAGCCTTCCTTAGGGAAGTGATTTTCAAATGAAGAACTGAAGGATGAATAGGAGTTTGCCAGGCAAAAGCGGGTGAGTGTGAAGCCTTGTTCTGAGGGGACAAAGGGAACAGTCTTTGAGGCTGGAGGCCAGAGGGAATTGGGAGAAGTGTGGGAAGTCCAGGACCCCAGAGGACTGGGAGGGTGAGGAAGTAGATGTGGCTGGAGAGAGACGGGCAGCTCAGGTCAAGAGGGGCTTTAGAGAAAGTTAGATCTAAATAAGAGTAACAGGGAGACATTGAAGGGTTTTGAGGAAGGCAGTTATGCCCCTAGAGTGAGTGCTTACAGCTGGCAAACCAGTAAGGCCAAACAGGAGGCTGCTGCAGGCCAGAGGGGACAATGAATGGGGGTGAAAGTAGGATCAGAGAGGGGTGACTGGAAATGGTGGCTGAGGTCAATAGGGGAAGATGCTGGAGCCAGAGGAAGGGAACTGTGCCACAGGTGGGTAGTGTGAGTGGCCTTATCTGTGGGTGCCTTCTCTGTGCTCCTGGAGGGACACCCTAGTGTTGGGCTGTCCAATACAGAAACTGCTATTCATATGCAACTCATTATATTTAAACGAACTAAAATTAAATAAAATTTAAATTTTAGCTTGTCTGTTGCAACAGCCTGGTTTCAAGTGTTCAGTGGACACTGCAGCTAGAGCCTATGGAGCTGGACAGTAGAGAGAAAGAATATGCACATCCTCGCAGAAAGTTCTATTGGCCAGCGCTGTGCTATGAGCAGCTTCCAGGCCTGCAAAGCAACTTGAGGGGACCATCCTGGGCCTTTCCCTGTGTAGGCGTGTTCTCCCAGGTCTGAGCAAAGGGCAGAGGAGAGGAATGGGTAAGGCAGAGAATTGGGACAGGTAGAAACCTGCCACGGGAGAGGAAAATTCAGAGACAAGAGAGGGGAAATGATTTTCTTACAAAACAATTCTCCAAAATGGAGGTGCAGAAGGTGCCTGTCCTCATGGGGCACACAGGCATCTGGTGAGTTTGGGGGCCAAGACCAGGATTCTAGCTGGGCTTTGCCAGTCGTGTGGCCTTAGGTAAACCATGCTACACTCCTGCACTTCGGGTTCATCTTCCATAAAATCTAGGCCCTGCCTCCCTCCTGGGATTGGGGACAGATCGGAGACTTCACTAAATGGTGCCATCACCAAAGGCCATGCACAAGACCAGATGAGTGCTCAGGGAGAGTTCTTAGGAACCTGGGGCAGGCAATTGTTGGAGCAGGCAGGACTGGGCCACTTCCTAAAGAATGGGAGAAGGACACCGGGGAGGGCAAGCCTGGTGAGGCACACGGCCTGTGCAATGAACTGGGGGTGGGACTCCAGGGCACATGCATGTCACCCATGCCAATGGGGAAAGCAGGTGATGTGGCAAAGACTGTGTCTATGAGGCAGAAGGAAGAGGGAGCTGCAGGGAGGGCCGGCCAAGGGGACCCAGGAGGACAGGAGGCCTGAGAGGGGAGCCAGAGGCAGATCCGAGGGGACCAGCCCACGACGGGGGTTGTGCGAGCCGGGATTGGAGGATGGTGGGAGCCGGCTCTGTGGGGAACCAGGAGTGTGCTTTCCAGACCTCAGGCCCCAGCTCTTCCCCCATTAGTGCCTCTCTCCTGGTCTGGGACCGTTAACGAGCAGTCCAGCTGCCTGTTATTTGATTTGCTTGCTGTGAGAAAGAAGCTGGAATGTCCCAAATGGAGAAAATCAGATGACACCCAGGACTGGGCAGCCGTGTGCAGTGAATGAGAAAGGAGTGGAATTTAAAAGAGCCAAATGCTGGGCCGGGTGCGGTGGCTCATGCCTGTAATCCTAGCACTTTGGGAGGCCAAGGTGAGTGGATCACCTGAGGTCAGGAGTTCGAGACCAGACTGCCAACATGGTGAAACCCCATCTCTACTTAAAAAATACAAAAATTAGCTGGACATGGTGGCGGGCACCTATAATCCCAGCTACTCGGGAGGCTAAGGCAGGAGAATCGCTTGAACTGGGAGGCGGAGGTTGCAGTGAGCTGAGATCGAGCCATTGCACTCCAGCATGGGCGACAGAGCAAGACTCCATCTCAAAAAAAAAAAAAAAAAAAGAGCCAAATCCATTTTCTAGGCCCAAGGGGAAGCAGAGGAGGGTCTCAGCAGCCACTTTTAAGGTGAGTTTTGAGAGATGCCAGTTAGACTCCCCACCCCCAATGATAACATCATAAACTGTACTAGAAATGTCCCATAGTTATAGGGTACATACAGGGGCCAATGCTATGCGTGTCACCATCATATCTCTTTCAATCCTCGCAACTTCCCTAAGGGACTGACATTCACATCACCCTGTTTTACAGATGAGAAGACTGATGTCACTGTACCTCCCTCCCACTATCTCTGATTCATTCCTTTGAATGTTAAGGAATCTCCTGGGAGAGGAAGTGGTTAAAACTTCCAGGCTAAAATGTTGAGGAATCCCAGGCAGATTCCTTCATCCCTAAAAATAACAACAATTATAATAACGTGTCTCATGTTTATACAGTGTATGATTTTGGTGCAAAAGTAATTTCAGTTTTTGCCATTGAAAGTAATTGCAAAGAGATATAGGGGACAGATATAGGGGAGGGATCAAAGCAGCAGCTGAAAGATTGGGGCTCTGGATGGGGTCCTTTAGGACTGAAATGCTGGGATGAGGATGGGAAGAAACTCTTAAAGGGGAAGTGCATGTGTGCTAGGGTGGGTAACCTGTGCACAGTGTCCTGTGCTGACCACAGCTGCCTGGACCTCAGTATACGGACAGACTCTGGATCCAGGTTTCCTCA